AAGAAATTTGCCACCACAATTTATGGAAATATGCTCTCTCAGTAGGTCAGTTGCATCCTTTTGTGCTGATTTCTTGTTTGCAGGTCATGTCTGATAAATTTAATTTTTTAACCTACAGGCAAGAGGACCTCAGAATTTCCCTGGCTCACATCCAGTTTCTCTTAACAGGTCTCAGTCAACTTATTCTCATATTGTAGGAACAACTTTTTGTGTTTTGATGAATAAATCTCTAGTGATAAATGATTTTCTTATTCTGCATATGTTGTGGTCCTATATATAAGTAATGTGCCAAGTTTTGATAACAATGGAGCCATACCAAGGTTGTAAGATGGGGAGTGGTGTTTGGTCACCGATATATTGTTGGTTGTCCATGCTACGCTTTATATTTTTCAATGTGTTCACTGTAGAAACTAGAATAAAATGAAGGAAGGAATAGAGGGTGGGTGTGAATTCGTATAGATAGAAGACTTCGTCAGTTTCTCAAAGAGCTGTAGACAGGGAAGATATTGAAATGGTGCTTGTTAGTTATAATTTATACTCGGTTTATGCCTTTTGTTTTGGCCCTCCTTCCCACAGCGCTAATTAAGAATGGATTGTCGAAGTAAATGCCCAACTTAAGTTTTTTTTATTTTGGTCCCATTAATCTTCTATTTTTTTATTTTTTATTTTTTTTATCACATATCTTTCAAGTTGTGAGTAGCATCCACAATCCTTTTCTTTTCCCCATAGATTGGCATTTAATAATACCTATTAATATACCATCCAGAGACAACTTACAATTGTTAAGGCAACGTTACTACTATGCAACATGGAAAGCTGATGGAACGAGATATATGATGCTAATCACCATGGATGGTTGTTACTTGATAGATAGGCATTTTACTTTCCGGAGGGTCCAGATGCGATTTCCTTGCAGGCATGCTGCTAATGAAGTATGTATTCCTGTTCCATATTTGGATTTGCTGGGATTTTTTCAGCTTTTAATAGCATTACAGATCAAATGTTCATTTCCCATTGATTTCGTTTGTACTCGAGATATTTGGATTAGCTGATACTTCTTTCAGCTTTAATAGCTTTAAGAATCATATGATCATTGCCATGATTTTTGAATCTCCAAGTTGTTTGTGCAGAAGGGAATGACTGAGAAAACGTTTCATCATTATACTTTACTTGATGGGGAGATGATAATTGACACCATGCCTGATTCACAGAAGCAAGAAAGAAGATACTTGATCTACGATATGATGGCCATTAATCAAATTCCCATTGTTGAGGTAAGAAAACAGCACATTTTCAGTTTTATAATTCCTCCCATTGACGTTGGCATAACAACTTATCTGGGTCTTGTTTTTCCCGTTTGGTAGGAGTTGATGTATATATGGGTAAGGACCACTTTATAGTTTATATGCACATCAAACCTATTAATGTGTTATGTTCATATGGGTAAGGACCACTTTATAGTTTATATGCACATCAAACCTATTAATGTGTTATGTTCAACAACAAGGAACCCAGGAAAATGCCGAGGCCTGATATTTTATAACCCCAAATATAATATACCATCATTCCAGCTCCTCCTGGTCCACCATTCTCAGTTTTCATCAGTCAATATGCTTTTATTGGATAAAAAATGATATGCCCCCTTAATATATATCCGAAACTTCTGTGCCTTAAAAAATTATAGGGAGCGTGCGCTAATGGGAACAAATTTGACAAAGTACACTAATTTGATTCAACTACTTTTATGAGATATGGTTGATTTTAATTAGTTAATACTAAATTGTTTAGGAAATGCTGCTCTATAATATAAATTTGTATTAATGTCTTGGCGAGCTAAATTGTTTTTTCTTTCAGATTTTTGTGGCACGGGAGCACATATATTTTTTTTATGGGCATGATTATGATGGTTCTCGATGACTTCAACACAAACGTTTAATGTATGCAGCGACCATTTTACGAACGTTGGAAAATGCTGGAGAAGGAAGTGATTGAACCTCGTAATCTTGAGAGACAACATATATATCAGAGCCAAAACCCTTATTACAGATATGATTTGGAACCATTCAGGGTATGGAATCCTTGAACCTCAACAACATGTTATTCATCAATGTATCTTTTTTTTTTTTTTTCTCTGGCCGCATTATATGATAATAATCCTCGACACTTGACAGGTACGAAGGAAAGATTTTTGGCTGCTTTCCACCGTTACAAAACTCTTGAAAGGATTTATTCCAAAGCTTTCACATGATGCTGATGGTCTTGTTTTTCAGGTGCTTGGGCTTGGATGTAAAACTTATTTCCTCCTTCTCATTTTGCATTGCGATTTCTTCTTTTCTCCGCTTCTTTACCTTTCTTGACTATTATTTACCATGTGAAATCTGTTATGACTTCAAGGTTTGCACATATTTTGGCTTGACCAGCCTTGTTTCAGTTATGTGATGCTTCTTTTTTTAACTTTGAAAAATCTCTTGCTTGCCATGTACCTGGAAAAATGTGTTACGAGGTGTTTTTTTTTTTGCTCATTTTCATCGATAAGACCATCTCTAGACTTGGATCTCTACTCAAACTTTTCCTGGTCCCCTAAATTTGAGACCATTTGTCTCCAATTCCACATTTTTTTGAGAACTTCCGCTAAATGGTTATACACTGTGATCTGTTTGAGAGGATTTCATGATAAAAAGTGGATCTTTACACTTCGTTTGGAGCAAAATTTCGGGTCTCTCCTACCTATATAGGTTTGAGATCCTTCTGGAAAGAAAGAGTGTGGCAATGCTTTCTAATTTCTTTGTTTTCCAGGGTTGGGATGATGCTTACGTTCCAAGGACACATGAAGGCCTTTTAAAATGGAAATACCCAGAAATGAATTCAGTGGACTTTCTTTTTGAGGTTCTGCTTTTCTATTAGAATTTTCCTCTACAAAATTTACCGGCTTCCATTTTTTTTTTTTTGTTCTGTATCCTATAATGTGTCTAATTTTTTTTTTTTTCGTTTGCCTGTTTTCAAATAACAGGCGGTCGATGATCATCAATTACTTTATCTGTTTGAGCGAGGAAAGAAGAAATTAATGGATGGGAGGGTCGTGTTCCCTGGTTAGTTTAGTATTTTCCGAGCTTCCAGACTAAAATATTTTAACATTACTTTGTGGAATATGTTGTGGTGGTTCTTTATGTGTGTGGATGAGCGCTTTCTTTAGCATAATTCTCTCTCTCAAAATTTAAACGCCCCAAATGTGTTTTAAAATACTGTATTTTTTTTTTAAATGAAACAAAACCTATAGTTGTAATTTTCAAAGATCACTGGGGTTCTTTTGTGCTCGGGTTAATCATTGAGGGTAGTTCGTTATTTATTCCTACAAAATCCTCATTTTCAGACCTGTTGACATGTCTGAGTCTTCTCCCAGAACTCTGTGTGCACATAAATATATTATTCACGTTTTCGGAACTTGCAGATGGGAATGACCCGTCAACTTATTCGGGGAAGATTATAGAGTGTTCATGGGATTCTGAAGAAAGCGTATGGGTGTGTATGAGGGTTAGGATAGACAAAGGTACCCCTAACGAATTCAACACTTACAAGAAGGTAATTTTTGCGTTTGTTGACTATCATGCTATATGGTTGTCCTGATTACTTCTAATGGATAAATGCAAAAGCTTCCCCGGGACATTCAAATGTGGATGATGAATAAAACTTGGTAAAAATGCATTTTTAGTCTTGTTGGTTTAACGCCATGACAATAAAGGTTTAAAATTTTTGCCTTTTGGTCCTTCGATTTAATATTTTGCTGCAATTTCCTTTGAGGACTCAAATTGCAGCAATATTTTAAATTATACGACTTAAATTGCTAATAAAAAATCTATGAATTTGGGAAGTTGTTGCAATTTCAAATCCTCAAAGGGCTGAATTTATGGCAAAATCACAGGACCAAAAGGCAAAATGTTAGAAGATTGGGACTAAATTTGCTATAACGATGAACCAGCAGGACTAAAAATGCAATTTAGCCATAAAGCTTGAGCTATCTTCGAAATTACGAAAAGGGTGAATATAAGAAACTTGAGGTTGTTTTTGCAACTAATTCTTATTCAAAAAGGTTTTTTGTTAAAATGCCGATTTTTGTCTGGAGAACAGGTTATGAGGAGTATAAAGGACAATATCACAGAAGAAGTGTTGCTGAACGAGATAAACGAGATCATACGCCTGCCGATGTATGCGGACAGGATACAGAACGAGAGCAAAGCCCATCAACACCATTCATCACGTCGTAGGTGATTGAAATAAGTTCCAATGAGCTCTCGAGTGGAGAAAAAAAAAATAAGCTAGTTTCTGAAGCGTTCGAAATCTGTTTTTCTCGATATTTAGAGTGGTTTAAGAGTCTTGCAGAAACAAAACAAAAAGCATCTGACAACAAGAAATCAGCATTTTTTTTAATAGTTTGTGTTGTGGTATGTGCCTTGGTGTTTTCTGGTGAAACTCAATCGGCACACTCTTTTTATACTTGTTTTAGATTATTATAGGAGCTAGTCAGATAGGATTGGCCTTTGTATATTATTGTTTCTCCAGATTTGTTGTATGTTCTTTTACAATTAAGTTGGGGTAAAACTAGAGGACAATAAGTTGAATTTAGATCAATCTTCTTGTTATGATGTGGACTTTCATTAATTTTTGAACCCATATTCGGTTCGGGTAATTTGATGATGTGTTTACAAGAATGTATGTAAATAATTGTGCAAGCTGATGAAGGCCTGAAAGTGAGTAAACTTTGTAGAATAGCTTGGCACTGAATTCACTATAAAAATTTGTACACATTTTTAACAAATTTCAATATGCCTTCAAACGAACTTCGAAAAATTCCTTCAAAAAATAAAGAAAAGTAACCAAAGTTGAGGCATAAAACAGTTATGGCTTAAAAGGAACTCAATTGAGTCTTTTGTGGCACCCCACTTTTTTCCTCCTCATAAAGGAAAAAAAAAATGAAGGCAAATGGTCATCTATGCTTTTATCATATGATGATGATGATCATTCAACTTCTGTAGAATTCATCTAAGAAAATCTTAATAATTTGTACGCCTTCCTTTTTTTTAATAAGTGTCGTTTGAGAAATTGCACAGTAAGTAAAAATATTTTTTTTACCAATAATAGCCCTCATTAATGAAGATAGAGATGAATGTTTTGAGAAAAGATGAAAAGTAAATATGAAAAGACGTAGTGCATTTATTAGTTAAATAAGCCAAAATGACATTTTTTTTTGTGAAAGGAGGTAGTATATATTATATTAATATAATATAATTCCAAAAAGCATAAAATGATAGCTATTTATGTATGTGAATAGTGGTGTAAGTGCTAAATTTCATATGTTGATAAAAATGATGGGAGTTATATATGTTACCTTACTCTATTAACTAAATAAACATATAGTACTACATAAACTCATATGTTGTCTAAGTCTAATATGCATATAAGTGCAACATATTTTGATGATTTTCATGCAAAAAATTTAAAAAAGAATTACACAACTGCATCAAAAGCCACATTCACTATCCAAAATCAATCATGATTATCAGCTTAGGATTTGCTGGAATATTATAATTTGTCAATCCCAAGTGTAGCATTTTTACCTAAAAATGTGCCTATATTTTGTAGTTAATTGTAATGGTTTCTGTGTCAGCAGCTTTAGTAACATGCCAAAATCTATATTCTTTCTTGGGATTCCTTCACTATACTACTCCCTCCTATTCATAATATTTCTCGTTTTGACAAGTTGCACAATAATTAAGAATACTTTTGTTGCCCATAATAACCCTATTTAATGAAGATAGAGATGAATGTTTTGAGAAAAGATGAATAGTGAATATAAAAAGACGTAGTATATTTATTGACTAAATGGGGGTAACAATGGAAAAAACATGTACAAAAGACCCAAAACGATATTTATTTAGTTAATTGTTGATAAAGCTAAAATGACATTTAAAAAGAATAGGAGGTAGTACTACATTTTTACTGCACAATGAATGAATCATGTTCTTGGAGATTATAAAAAACACCCCATTAAAGAGTTTGTGCATGCTCCTTTTTATTTGTTTAAGTGTTAATATTATTTTAAGTTTGTCAGAATTACTGCATGCTAACTTTAGCTTGAGAGGCTAAAAACTGTATACAGTTGAAACCTGATATATATTGCTCGGTAATGCTCCCCTATCTACGGTGGACACATGTTAATATGTCCGCCGCTTATGTGACATGCACACATTGGTGATGTTAATATGTTCAAAAAAATACATACCGTGAATAGGAGAGCATTATTCATATATTGCTACTGTTAATAATTATCTGTTTAAATTAAATTATATTCTCTTGCATGCATTTGAAGATTGTGATATATCTTGATCAGTGTTAAAATTCTGATTTTGCAGGGCCTGTTCAATAAAATATTTATAAAAAAAAAAAGGAAAATGGGACCAATAAACGTGCCATAATGTTGGTATATATCTAGGAAGATACGTGCTCGTGTCTAATATATTTTGTTTGGTTAATTAACTCTTTCTTGATTTTACATATCTGATTTTTATAATAAATTAAAATACATGGAGCTATCAAATATATAACATTCTTATGGAATTATATATAAGTTAATTTATTGAAATTATATATAAGTTAATATATTGAAACATGTTTCGTGTATTTATTTTTATTACACGTGTCCATACATTATTTCTGAATTACTATATGATTGTAGTGAAACTAGTATATGAACAATACAACTCATTTATATGTCATTATTTTCATAAAAATAAAAAATTAAAAAATTTTACCTTCAAGTGGTAGTGTCTAATCCCCTAAGGAGGAGTCACTAGTGCCATGTTTGGACAATAATGTTGGTATATTCTTTAAATTGTTACAAAATTTAGATAATGATAGTCCAAATATTGGGAAACAATAATATAATTTCCCTTTCATAGGATAGGATAAAAATCAAGAATGTGAATAGGCATTTATGGGTCCAAAATGG